GAGAAATGAATATAAGTAATAATTAATACTTTTTATTACCAATTACTAACTCTACATCCACACGCAGCCTTCTGCCGTGGCAGTAACAGCTGGCTCTCCACCTCTGCTCTCAGTCACCTGTCACATCTGTATGAGCGCCCTGACTCCAGCACCACTGTCCTCAGCAGAGGAGAACAAAGCTTCATTAATGCACCTGGCTGGTTCCTGTCAGACTCTGCTGCCTCTGATCTTCACCAATTACAGCTCATTAAAAAGCTCCTCGCTGTCATCTGCCCTGTTCCTTACCTCACTCCTTTTTCTTCTTCTTCTTTTTTTTTACAAACCCTTTCACCCTCTACTTCTCCTCTTTTTTTTTTTATCATCTTTCCTTCACTTCCTACCAGCCGCCTGATTATCACAAATATAACCAGCTCCTCTCTTCATCCTCCTGCATCTCTCTCTCTCTCTCTCCATTTCCTCCTTCACCTCTTCCTCCTGCCTTCCACCTCTCCGCTCGGCCTCTGAGCGCGGAGCAGAGTGAGGCCCCGGCGCTACTGTTGTATAATGTTATTTACATTTCTTGGCGGTAATTAGGCCGATAAGGGAACACTGCCGCGATCCCACAGTCGATTAAGAAGGGGGGGGGGGTGGGGGGGGGGAATAAGGAGGGAGGAGGGGGAGGGCAAAAAGGAGGGAGGAGGGGGAGGGTGTAGGTAGGACATAGGTCACACAAAGTACAAAAACTTTTTGTTTAAGTACGGTGATGTCACAGTGCAACAAACGGCTTCAACGAGAGGGAAACTGAAAAAAAGTTTATCTCTAATTATAATAAACAAAAAGTCATAAATAACATTTATGGCAAATAAACAACAAATAAAGAAAATATCCTATAAAAAAAAAGAAAAGAAAAAGAAAAGCAGCTTATGTGCAAAAACACTTTAATTACTTACATCACTAGAATTAAAATGTTTTTTGTGTGTTTTAAAAGTTAACACACACACACACACACACACACACACACACAACCTGTGACAGAACCACCCATGTCTTCATCACCGTGTGTGTGTGTGTGTGTGTGTGTGTGTGTTCGGACATGTCTGGACACAGACTTCTGCAGGTTCAGCACATTAACCACTGAAGCGTCAGACACACAGAGAAATGAAGGAGCGACTGAACGAATGAGGAGGAGAGACGACAGATGAAAACATGAAGTAGGTGTCATCAGGGTTGTACAACGAGGGGGGGGGGTGAAAAAATGCAGCCATTCAACTAAGTGTAAAATCTGATTAGACAGAAACTGATACAGAGAAGAAGAAGAACTCCCTCGTTTCACCTTCGTATCTGTTTCTCTCTTATTTAAAATTCCCAACGGACGACGAGCTGCAGAGAAACGTTCAAGTTACTGTAGAGCTGCAACAATTAGTCAATTCATATTATTAATTATTATTTTTTATTATCATACAGACAGTGAGAGAGAGAGAGAGAGAGAGAGAGAGAGAGGGCGGGACATGCAGTAAAGGCCTGAGTCGGATTAGAACCCAGCACTGAGCCGGGACGTCCCGTTTGATGATTCTCCCACATGAGTAAACTGCATGTCTTCAGGTTGAGGACAAAACTATTAGATTTCTGCTTTAAAACTGTTTTCTGATGTTTCATAAACCTGAACGATTCATCGAGAAGAAGAGAAGAACTGTCGGACTAAGATTAAGGCCCGTTAGAGTTTGTCTCCTTTAGCTTCTGTTCTGCTGTGTGTGTGTGTGTGTGTGTGTGGGTTTGGATGGAGGGATGGTGGTGTGTTCACTGCCCCTGGTTAAAAGCACCATCCAGAATCACCACAATGAATCTGAAGTCTGATAATCAGTCCAACTGTGTGTGTGTGTGTGTGCGATCATTTACTATATACAGTATGTATATGTGAGTGTGTTTATTGCGATCACATCGAGGCGGCGGCGTTAACTGGGGCGTGCGGAGTAGAGTCGGGTGGGGAGGTGAGGCGGGTGATGAGGGCGGGGTCACGCAGCATATGGAATACACATCATGTCCCTGATAAGGATCAAAGCAGTTATGTAAGAGCCACAATCCCTTTGTTTTGTCCAAGAACAGGATCACAATCACCCCTGACTGCCAGTGTGTGTGTGTGTGTGTGTGTGTGTGTGTTTCAGGCTGATGAAGAGAAATAAAAAAATGAAAATGAAAAAAAAAACAAAAAAAAACAGAAGAAACCAAAAATAATGAAGTGAAAAAGAAGAAGAAGACAGAATGAAGCTGTCATGTGAGGACACAGTCTCACCGTCTCTCTCCGTCCATCCTGCACATGTTTGTGTTTGCTTTGGAGGAAACTAACAGGAACAAATAAATGGAACAGGAGACGCCATCACTGGACGCAGAGCATTATGAGAAAATAAACAAAAGATGCAGCTCACAAAATGTTCCTGTTTAGCCACAGTTAACTCCTCCTCCTCCTGGTGTCTAAATCTGATCCTCTGCAGAGAACATGAGGAGAACGTCCATCTTTGCATGTTTCACTAATAGTTGAAAACACAGATAATTCAGTGTCTTCAAACAAGACTGGAAATGACAGGAAACCAGGAATCATTCAGTTCTTTGCATTTCAAAATAAAACAAAAAAATAAGGCTCGATCTGACTCTTCCGTTTCCCTCCCAGATATTTCACTTCATATGGCTTTTATACAGAAGACTGCAAAACAGAGTGAGCAATGTCTGTAGTAATGTGCTTGTGATTGAATATTATCTCCTGCATTGCAGCGTTTTTCTTCCAAATGAAGTCCAGTATTGGTTTGCATAATTTCCCATCAAACCCTTGTCCCCAGGTGCGTAATTTGACCCTTGCATGGGAAATGTGGACTCTGGCAGAACCAATGAAAACCACTTATCCTAAGTCCTAAAATTAAATCCAAACTTCCTTCAGGAATGACCTGTATGTGTGTTTTCTGATTGGGTAGGTGCATTGTTTGTCGTTTGAATGCAGATTTCTATAGAATATATTGTGTTACCATTTTTAAAAAGTCCCATATTTTACACTTCCTGTGTTTTATTTTGAAGTGTTGATCCATAAGAAGATATATTTGTGGTTTAAGAACCAAAAACCATCTCAGTGTAGTTTTACATCTCCTCTCTCAGGCTTCTCTCTGGAGCTCTAGTAACAACAGGTCGGTGAGCCAATCAGAAGAGAGGAAGCTCTGAGCCTCTCCTCTGATTGGCTGACTGTTTTCTGAGTGATCCAATAAAAATATAGCAGATTTCAGGTAAAAACACTCAGAGAAACCAAATCCTGCAAGGTTTGGATGGTGGGTCCAGGTGGGCGGGGCTTGGTGACTGCTTTGTTGTGACATCACAAAGTTCCAGAAGTCCTGACGGCTGGTTTTAAGGCTCAGTTTCTGAATACAGGCTGTGTGCATTTCTCTGTGGACTGAGGCTTTGATACTTTCACAGTATTAATATAGAAGCTAGAGCTGATCTATAATCACACTACACATGGACAGAGACCTTTAGACTGGAGCAGCTTTGAGGTGCTTTTTAAGGTGGCCAGCAGGAAGTGAAACATTAGTCTGAATCTCTTTTTCTACCTCGTTTTCCAGAAACAGAAACTTCTTGAAATTCTTCATCTAAAAAGGTACAAAACTCTAAACTTCATGTTGCATCCATTCAATCTAAAAGACGATCATGATCATGAAGTCTTCAGTCTGACACTTTCCTTAAACACCTTAAACGCCTCGATGGCAACCTGTGCAGTTCATGTTTAGTTGAGGCTCAGCCTGATAAAAGTAAACACCTGTGCCGCCTTTAGAGCAGCGTCAGGCTCAAGTTGCACTGAAAGGACTTGGCACAACAACGCGACATGTGACCGGTTCCTTCAGCGAGTCGTCAAACTGGAAGAAAAGCACACACACACACACACACACACACAAGTATAGTGCCTCTATACATTTCCTGGCAGGAACACTTATGCAACATGCGATAGACAAAACACATAGACGGCCTGGAGGAGCTGTTGGTGGGGGGTGGGGGCACGTCCCACCCACGGGTGCCCTTTGTGCATCCGTCTGTCGTCGTCCACTTCACTGTATAGACGGACAAACGAGCTGAGCGGCGGAGACGATGAGAGGAAGGGCAGAGTGTGAAGGAGAGAGCAGGAAATGAAGGGGGAGCGGAGCTGACGGCAGACTGATGACTTCAGAGTAAGAGTTGTTTTACGTGTTTGTTCAAAACATCGAACCTCTGAACTGCAGACTGAAATATCTGCGAATGTGACGCTGTAAAAACATTTGACCTTTACAGCATTGAATCAACAGAGAGGCTGAAGCTTTTATAGTTACTGTCAGAGAGAGTTATATAAGATTATTCTAAGATATTAGACGTTTGAGGTGTTTGTTTAATCTGCACATTTGACCTTTTGACCTTATATCATTTGGTTCTGTTGATTTTTTTCATTTAAGTTTGAGTTTATTTCTTATTGTTAATGTATCTGTTGATTATTTTTATCTAATTGTTTTTTAAACCAGTGGTTCCCTGGTAGAAAAATGTCTACAGTTCAACCAAAAAGCAGTTTTTGCTTCACAGATGTGTCTGAATATACAGATACGATATCACAGGTACGGTTTGTCTAAGATTCGCTTTAGAGAACAATCTTCTTCTCACGTCTCAAACTAGAGAGTGAAGAAGGACATGACTCTGTTTAACTTCCACATCCTGGACGGTTTACTTCTAATATAACATTCAACATATGTTCGTTTTGGAATCATTTTGATGCTTTTTGTGTCTTTTGATTCACAACAGATTTTAAGGCATCACTTATAAGTTATTTATAAGTATTTTATTTTTTTTATATTTCCTGCCGAACGTCGTTTTGTAAATGTTTTTCTGAGGATGTTTTTGAGAGAGAGACCTGACGGCCGCACAACCTGAAGCTGCAGATTCAAACGTAGCTTAATGCTGCCCCCTGGTGGTGTAACGTATGCCTGCATGTGTGTGTGTGTTTGTGTGTGTGTGTGTGTTCATACTTTAGTCTGGAAGCAGCAGAAGAGCTGTGTCAGGTAGGGGTGTTTTCTGGCCAGAGCCAGGATCCGTTTCTCGGTCAGGGTGCAGTCCACGTCGTCGTCCTGCAGGATCACGTCCTTCTTCAGCACTTTGACGGCGTAGACCTCGTCGCTGCCTTTGAGCTCCGCCAACATCACCTGGTCACATGACACAAGACAGTCAAAACCGCGACGCTCGCTCTCTGTCTCTTGCTGTGTCTTATTTGATCGATGTATTCAACCAGACCAGCAGGCAGCAGAGTGAAGATGTAAGAAGGTGAACAGAGCTGAAGAGGACAGAAGAGGACAAAGGTCAAAAGGTCACACGCTCACCTTTCCGAAGCTTCCTTTTCCCAGGACTTTGATGAACACAAAGTCGTGCAGATTCATCCTCTTGACCTCTGGAGCACTGTGAACTTTGACCTCTCCATTCGCGCGGCCCCCTTGTGCCTCCACTTCAACGCCACCGCTTCCGTCGCCGCCGCCGCCGCTGCCTGGCCCCCTGTGGCTCTCCCCCGTTACCGTAGCGACAGAGGATGGCGAGGACAGGGGATGTGTGTTTGTTTTGTGCTCCTCCCCGCGGTGGTCGAACGACAGAGCCTTTCGGATGTTCTCCAACTCCTTCACATCTGGACGAAAGACGGGAGAAAAGGAAGGTGAGCTGTGTTGTTGTTTGTTCCTCTAGTTTAAAGTCTGTCTGTGATTGGTCAGAATTTCTCCCACCCTGGTCACACGGGGAGGTGGGCGCCGACTTGGAGCGATCTTCCTCAGTCTGAGGCGTCCCTGATAACTGCTGCTGGGGGTCCTGACCCTGAGGGAGCTGTTCAAACACAACATGTCGCCGTCATCATCTTCATCCAGAATTTTTTACCATCATCAATAAACAAAAAATAAATAGATCTGTTTTGGTTTTTTAGTTTGTTTCATGACCTTTGATCGACCTATGATTCTTTGACCTTTAGCCACTAAAATCGAATCAGTTCATCCTTCAGTCCAGGTGAATGTTTGTGCCAAATTTAAAGAAGGTCCATCACGGCGTTCCTCAGATATCGTGTCCACAAGAATGGGACGGACAACCCGAAAACATTATCCCTCCTGCTCCGACGCTGTCGCCGGCGCAGAGGAATAATGATGAACTTTACGCCTACTGTTTTTCTTTCTACTTCCTGTTTGCTGGAGAGAAAAAGAAACTGATCTATTTAAATTCTGAAATGAGGATGAGTCACCTTTTTCCGTCTCTGGGCGCTGTTGGAGATCTTGTCCGGTGTGACTCCGAGGTCGGAGAGGACTTTAGCGATTCCCCTGGCGTCCACGCCACAGTTAGGAGCTACATTACTCTCACAGCGCCTGTGTACATTCACTTTACACACTGACACACACACACACACACACACACACAGAGAGAGTGAGGGTTAGCATGTACAGGTGAAGTGAGATGAACTCCAGGTGTCCGTCCATACCTTTACACTGCAGCCCCTGTCGCAGCAGACCCCACAGCAGAGACCCGCAGTGGTCGCAGAAGGTGAGAACTTTAAAGTTGTGGATGCTGAACTTGTGCGGCACGTTGACACTGAACCTCTGCGAGCCGACTGTCTGTGAGAGACGGGAGAGGAGAGAGAGACGACTAGGTGAGTTTTATGTTTCAGGTCTTTATAATATATAAATATATTATTGTATTTTATGTGTCAGGTAAAACTGATGCTGCCACTAAACAGCAGTTCAAAGTTTTGTTTGTCACATGCCAAGACACAGTGAAGTAAACACAAAAAAACATTGTTGTTTATTGATATCATCAAATATTGAAACCTAAATAAAATAAATAAATAAATAAGTAATAATAATGATAATAATGATGATGATAACAGCCTGTAGTTGTGGGTCAGTACCTCCCCAACTGTGTCCTCCTGCTTCTTCATCCCTGCACACTTGGTAATGATCAGCTCATGGCAGCGCTTATGGACCACACAGGTACACACTGCGCACACACACACACACACACACACACACACACACACACACACACACACACACACACACACAGGAAACAGTTTTATGTGTTTTAAAAACTGGACTTCAGGAATGTAAAGAAAACAAGAAGCAATAAAAAAAGCAAACACTGTCCCACCTTGACACTGGTAGCCCTGTTTTCCTAAGACGCCCCTACAGAGAAAAGATAAACAGCAGATTTTATTATGTTTTTATTTATTATTGACCGCTCTTCTGTCTCGTTGGATAATTCTAATGTTTTCCATAAAAATCGGGTGTATTTTACTTTGAAAAGTCACACACATTTTACCAGTTGACCTACATAAAAATGAAACTGACACTACAAACACAGTGTTTTTGTTTCAGCTCGGAGACCCTGAACACCAGAGGACTCCATCAAACACAGTTTCCTTGTGACTGTGATTACACATCAAACGCCGAGCTGAGAGCGAGCAGAGCGTCGGGGGGCGCCACATGGTTTCCATGTGAGTGAAGCTAACGCAGTTTGTTGAGATGGAAACAAACACAGCTGCCATTGTTTATTACTCCACACTTCACAGCGTCCACTGTGTTTACATGTAAACAAGACGGCAGGAAATCAGAGAACACGTTTAAAGACCTGGTTACTGTAAGACGTCCGTTTACACGCTGCACGTCAATAAAATCCACCACTCTATCATTTAATCACCGTTTTAAACATGGCTGCCATTTCTTAAGGTTGTTACACACAGAACAGACATTTACTGTGATTCTAGTCAGATGTTATTCCCTTTAGAAAGAAGGATGCACAATCAGTTATCCTTACTTACATCCTGTCTACTGTGGAGGACCAGGGGGGGCACAGGAAAAGTAATGTTGCATTTCCTTAATTTGAGATCATTTAAAACAGGAATGGTAAAAAGAATTTATAAATTATTAATCCATCAATAAATACTTCAGATTTAAAAATGGATTCACAAAAACAGCATAAAACTCTCACTGAATAAAGCATTTAGAAAAACATTTATTAATTCATGAATAAGCAAATCGATTAGCTAATAGGAAAAAAGAAAAAGCAGCTGGAAAAAGGAAATGGAAATTGAAATAGTTTTTCAAATTCTAGCATTTATTTATGATTTAATAAATGTATTTCTAAACAGTTTCTTCAATGAGAGTTTAATGCTGTTTTTGTAAATCCATTTTTAAATCTGAAGTATTTATTGATGGATTCATCCTTCATTTATAAATCCTTTTCCTATTTTTATGCCTATTGAAATATGAAAATCATTTGACACAACGATGCAACTTGTTTGTGAGCCAGAGCTACTGTAGGTCCTCACCAGATGAAGTCCCTGCAGTGGGAGCAGTACGTGGGCTGTCTCAGGTAGGTGGCCATGAACTTATGTCCGTTGACCTGGTGGACCCTGCGGCGGACGGCGCCCTGACGCTTCCTGGGACGCATCCGCTGCCGAAACACACGCTCCTCATTCTCGGAGGAGTCCGCTGCAACTGAACACACACACACAAAATATACAAAACAGTTATATAATATTATACACATTAGTGTGACAGAGGATCTGAAATAATCCCATAAAATAAAACTAAAAAGTTACTGTTCATGAGCTGCACTGAAAAGGCGTGAGCCCACTGACACCTGCAGAAAAGCTGCACTTACGCCACGTGGCCACTAGATGGCGGCGACACCGTGCGTCTGACAGATGAGTGATGAAGCGTTTGCTCCTGAACACGTTGGTGGTGTTTTGTTTTTCACGCGGTCGGTCGCAGCGTCGGCTTCGTCTCTCTCTGTCTGTGTAATTACAGATGGTTCTCCCGGTGGAGCCGCCAGGTTTCAATTACTGTCTGACACTGTGTTAATTATGATCACAGTGATATAAATGAGGAGAGGACAGACAGGACGGATGAATGCAGGGCAGCAACTAAAGATTATTTTCATTATTGATTAATCAATTTAACTGTTTTGCCAATAAAATGTAAAAATGTAGTGAATTTAAATGAGAAAAACTCCCAGAGATCAAAGGTGACGTTCTAAAGATATTGAGTTTAGAAGAAGAATTATTCAGTGTTTGTATTTTGATTTTCACTTTGAAAATAAGTAAAACAATTAATTGACTAATAGTTTGTTCATTGAAAAGAGAAAAAAAAGAATTAAATATTAGAGACTTTTGCTGTGATTTGTTGCTTTTGTTAAAAGCAAATTTCCGAAATATTGTTGAAGAAAACATTAAAGGATCAGTTCATCCAAATTACAAAAAGACATGTTTCCTTTTCACGTTCTTTAGCGTGTGTTGATCCCATTGAGTGATATTTCTTTACATTGTTTTTAGTGTCAAAATAAATAGAAATAAAAAAAAGCTGTTGCAGGTTTTAAGGTTGTGACTTAGAGATGCAAACCTTTAACAATAACTCAACCATATCAATGATAAACAGACTTTTATACTTTTTATTATACACACATTTTATATATGGATATATGTGTATCTATGAATATATTACTTTCACTTTGGACATAACTGACCCTGAGTGGACATCAGGTCCGTCACTGTGGCGGCCATGTTTGCCATCCTCCACCTGCGGACCTGAGCATCGCAGGTTCCTCATCACATGACGGATCATCATCAAACATCACGTGTCTTCAGTCTCACGTCAGTCTGAACTCAGTGGTGGTTTCTGATGCGTCTTCCCTCCAGATGTTGACACTTTTAGCTCCACATCTGTGAAGCCTTTTGGACTTTTTGTGCATTCCTTCTTCTCCGTCCTGTTCTGCCTGTCCTCAGTCTTTGCTACGCTGTACGCCATCGCCATCGCCTAGCAACTGATGACTGCTGCCTAGCAACAGTGTTAGACTTGGTGTTTTCCACCGTGAAGGGTTCAGGGGTGGGTGGGTGGGGAGGGGTCTGTGATGGACGTGTTGCTCCTCCGTGATGTCCTCATCACGACCCCAAAAGTTGAAGACTTTAAACGGCTCGACGTTCTAACTGTAACAAACTACAGCGACTGACACCTGGAACCTAGAACCTAGAACCTAGAACCGCCAACAAGACTTCAACTCTCAAGTCCTGCAGGAAACCGAGAGGCTGCGATGTTTATCACCCTCCATGACACTAAAGTGATGCAAAGTTTACATTTAACTGTGAACATTTTATTCACTATTTTGTTGACTTTAATATTTCAGATTTTATTATAAATAAACATAATTCAGCTCATTTGAAAATAGTTCTATTTTGTCCTCAGATACAACTTTTCTAAATCTTTTGCGCTGCTGGGAGAAGCAAAAGCAGTGTATGTATGATAATAATAATAATAATAATAATAATAATAATAACTTTAATTATATCGCATTTTTCTTAACAAAGTTACAAAGTGCTTTACAAGAAAAGTAAAACCAGATAAAAGAAAAATGCAAAGTGAACATCATAAAAATCTAAAATCAACCTTTTGTAAAAGACGTTAGACAGTCGTTAAGTGATGTGTGTAATTAAGATTAAATTCATACGTGTTCATATAGTCGCAGCACTTTAACTCCTCTGCCACAGAACCAGGTGTTTGCATGACGCCTACAAACATGGCGGCGGTGCTGTGCTAACGTCGTTAGCTGGTGTGACGCTGTAGCGTTTTATTCTTCTTCTTTGTTTAGAGTTAGCACGCTAAAAACTGTAGATTAGCACTGAAGCTAATAGTTATGTTACAGTTGGTTTGACTGAAGATGTGTCTCAGTGTTTCTGTCTCAGTGTTTCAGTTTTTGCTTTAATGCTAACGCTAAGCTAGTGCTAACAATGCAAATAGCAACTGTTAATTATCAGGATGTTTTCATTCTACTACACTGTTAATTCATCTCTACGCTCCACAGACGCTGCACTTTGCTTCGTCCTTGAACGAGGACGACATATTCGAGAATATGAAAGAATTTATTTGTTCATGTTTTATTTTTATTTGTAAGTTTGAGACACGGAGTTTAATACATTAACTGTGAAGAACTACAAATGTTTTTAACAAAGCTTCATGATGATCAGAGATAAAAACTCCCACAGCTGATAACAGATATTTCACCTGCTTTTAGCAACAGGCAGCAGCTTATCATCCTGTCCTGGTGACAGCAGGGCTTTGTGTGTGTGTGTGTGTGTGTGTGTGTGTGTGTGTGTGTGTGTGTGTGTGTGTGTGTGTGTGTGTGTATTAAAGCTTAATAGGTTGATTGCAGCTCTCAGGCCTGACAGTTCATCCATGTGTTCTCTGCTATGCAAACACATTTAAGTAATGACTGCAATTTCAGCCGCTCACACACACACACACACACACACACACACACACACACACACACACAGTGATATACTACAGGGTATAGTTGTAATGTCGTAGCTTGCAGATGGAGAACCGGCAGCAGAGGTCAGCAGAAACAGAAAAATAATTCAATAAATTTTATAAAAAAGAGAAAAATGAAACGGTGACATTTCCTGCCAGAGGAAAGGGTCTTCTGTCCTGATGAACAGCCTTCTGTCAACTCTCTCTCTCTCTCTCTCTCCTCTCTCATCACTCCCTCTGTCGATTTGATGGTAACTGGTCCATAAGAGAACTCTTAACCACTTTTACTTGAATCAATCGTTTATCACCCTGCCTCGCGGCCCCCTCTCTCTCGACCTCCGGTTAACTCCCTCTCTGTCTTTCTCTTCTTCCATTCTGTCATGTCTCTCTAACACATAATCCGGTGCACGCACACACACACACACACACACACACACACACACACACACACACACACACACGCACACACACAATAACAGAAACATTTCTCGTCAAAGTTATTGTCACGGCCGAAGCAGTGGATTAATATCCTGAGAAAAAGGTGGGACAGTCCCTGACGTCTGGTTTGGTTGAATGATTCAGAGTTTTGTTCTTCCGTATCAAAATCACGTTTCATAATCTTGTTAAAAGTTTTGACATATTTCCTGAGCAACAAAAGAAATCTAATTGTGTTTAAAGCAAAATCTACTTTTCAACTGACGTATTTCTCACAAACGATGAAGAATTATGTGATTCTTCTTTATTAGAACGTCAAATAATGAGGAAAAAATTATGCAATAAAAACACCACCATTAGAGTTCAGGCATCTATATCATAAGATAAGATAAGATATTCGTCGGTAACGTCAACGTCGCTCATTTGTGCTCAGCTGGCACAAAGACACCTGCTGGTGACGTGTCTGTTTGCTCCTTTAAATACTGTTTGGATTTAATCTACGACTTCTACGTCAGAGAGTCCAGGAACTACAAGTGATTGTGGAATAAGATTCACGGATCCTGATTGTGTAAATGGCCGTAAAAACACAACTGAATCAACAAAAGGAGCCACAGCCGTGATGAAGTTCGGTCGTGGGAAACACAGCAAACATTTAAAACTAAACAAATCTTCCTTTATTTCTAAAATTTCAAACATGGACTTCTGCCTCATCTTTATCTAACGTCGCTCTGCTTCCAAGTAAAGAGTACTTGCACTTGCACTTGCACTTGTACTTGCACTTGCTCAAAAGTTTGTCTAGTGGAGTAAAAGTCATACGTTTCCAAAAGAAACAATACTCAAATATAGTGTGTTAACACCAGGAGCAGACGTGGAGGGTGAATGTAAATGCTGAGTAACTAACAGAGAGAGAGAGAGAGTCTGTTGATACGTCTGCCAGATCCTCCTGCATAAACACCTCTCTCTCTCTCTCGCTCTCTCTCTCTCTCGCTCTCTATCTCTCTCTGTTCCTTGGAAGTGTGTGACAGGTGATCTCTCTGGTTTGTTTTATAACACTGGATGTCTTCACGCTGAGCTGACACGACGAGAGGATCACGTCCCAGCTTCAACACTTTATCTTCCCCTGAACTTGAGCCGCAGTTCCCTTGATGACATATGGGTTTTTGGGACTGACCCCAAAAATGACACTTTGTTTGATACTTTAGTTTGAGGAATATAAATTATTGAAAAACCAAACTTGTCGAATGTTAAAGGTTAAAAAGGAGCTGAGGTTTAAAAGACAGAAAATGACAGACTAAAGAAGAGCCACTCTGTCCTACATGGATAATTTGGTTAGTGAGTCCTGATTCTGTTTGGCCATGAAACAGCACAAACTTCTGTTTTAGAAGCTTTATAAAGTTGCATTTTTACAATTACAGTTAATAAAACAATCGTATTATACATTTTATTACTTGCCAGAGTTACAATCGTGTTGCAAGTGTTTAAGAAACAAACAACAAACGGTTATTTCACTTTACAGATTCAACATGTGCTCAGTGGACAGATATTAGGGTTATAAAAGGTTTATAATCAGGTTATTAATTCTGTTGCATTTTTATATTCTTGTACTGGCTTTTTGTATTTTACTGTGAGTTGTAAGGTGTCCTTGAATGCCTATAAATCAAATGTATTATTACTATTATTATTATTATTAGTAACTGAACAAATATGTGAAGAAGCAGCAGGTACAAATGCTGGATGATGGAGAAAACAAAGAGATCTGAGGCTGAACAGCAGATAAATGTGGGCTCACTATTTGGCAAGCAACGTGTCACTGTTGCCCTTTTTATCTAATGTGTTATAAAAACTTTTATAAGCTGATAAACTAGTTACAAACCAGTCGAGCGGAGTCTTATTGTAAAGTAAAGTGGTACCGATATTAGTAATACAGATGGAGCGTATCTGATCAGTTCATCGCTGGAGTATAAAGCCACTTCCTGTCGGAGAAGACGACGTCTCGCACTATAAACAATGAGCTGATCGCAGAGTGAAGCGTCACAGATCTTTTATTCTCCTCCTTTATACGTTTTATTAAATCCTCCTTCCTTGTTTTATCTCTCTTTCACAGATTCTTTTTTTTCTCAGCAGATTTCTTCTAAATATTTTCTGCTTCTTTTGATTGTTATAATTTGATTTTTTCCTTGTGTTTTTTCACTTTCGTGTTTATGAAAGGTTTATTATTATTTTATTATTATTATTATCTTACTTACTGCATGACATCATTACTGTACTGGACACAAACGCACAGGAAACGTGTCTATTTCCTGATGTAACGGTGTTGATTACACACGCTGACAGATTGACTCAAAACTTCACTTACTCAAACTGTGAGACACACACACACACACACACACACACACACACACACACACACACACACACACACACACACACACACAGATAAATCTAAAGATTAAGAAGAAAGATTAAGTCTTTTTTTGAAAGATCGAAAACTCTGGTGCTGCAATGATATGATAATGCAGTGTTACTCAACACACAGCTTTTACTTTTACTAAACTTTTACTGAGAAACCCCACACACACACACACACACACACACACACACACACACACACACACACACACACACACACACACACGGCACATCAAAGGGACATCAGCCTCAGACAGAAAACAGCTGATATAGTATGTAAATTCAGACATGTCTTTGATTGAACATATTTGTATTATTACTCAGTCAACATTGGTTTCATACTTTGTACTTAAAGTAAATAATAATAATAATAATAATAATAATTACAGATTGATGCCAATAAATCAAACAGTTCCAGATGTGATTTTTCTTTGCTCGCTTGTTTTTTTTTTTTAAATATATAAATCATCTTTCCTTCCTGTAAATTCCCAGTAAAGACTCAACAGCACATTAACTTGGTGTATGAAGCTAATGCTAATTGCCTGAAGACACAACACAGACTCATGTATGTTCATATCATTTACTTGCTAAATGCTTTTATTATTCTATTTATTATTTATTCTATTTTCTCTTTTCCCTGAACCAGATGGATGTTTACGACTCAGCGGGTTCAGATTCTTTCATCTTTACAGCAGCAGCTCCAGGCGTCTCCTCCAGCCTGTTCAGACATGTCGGATTCACACAGCCTCTTTATTTGATAGAGAGTCGACATGTGTTTTTAAGTGAAGTGCATATTTACCCCCTGGAGGGAAAACTGTGTCACCTGACGAAGACAGATATCATATTATCACACTGAGCAATAAAAGGCCACCCTCATTTAGATCTTCAAATAAAATCACATTATATAAAGTGTCTTTTTTCATCCACAAGACACTATAACGGATCAATTATCTTTACAGAATTTATGATTTTTTCCTGACTTGTATTTCTTTTATTCTTTGCCTGGTATGCTACCTTTACCTGGTCATTGGTATGATGTAATAATGATCCAAGTTTCTAAGTTTTTGGGGATTGTTGCAGCTAAAATACCAGATTTCGCGGAAGCTTTTCTTAAATGCATGTTGCGACGTTTTTAGATGGAATGGGATTATTTTATTTTTTTTGCAGTGAAACTGTGGGAAAAATTGTCGCCGTCTTTTTTGTATAATTAATTAACAATCGTCATTTTCGTCGGTAAATGTTAGACGTTCATGTCACGCACGTCTGCAGCTTCACAACACGCTTCAAAACCACAAACCAGGAAGTGAGTTTGGTGACGTACAAAGTTGGGGTGATTGGATAAAAAAAATGTCGCACAGAATTCACAGGGATTGGTTGAATTTGCGTTAATTATCGCGATGGCGACATCACGACTTTCTGGAGGGACTGATTATAAAACCTTTTTTTCATGGTCATACTGGAAAAAGACTTTTTAATATCTTCTACATTTATCTTTAGGGCGCTTAATCCAACTTCCTGTGACTCTTCAAGACCTGCACACAACCATACAAAACCCACAACTTCCTGTTGAATTCACATGGAAGTTGTGGGTTTTAAATGTCTGAATGGAGCAACATCTGGTGTAAGAATAAGAGGAACTCAGTAGGTAGCATTAACTGCAACGGCCACGATGACTCAAGACAAAAATTAAAACCTGCTGCCTCTTAAACGTCCTCATCAGCAGATGATCCAGAGAAATAAACTGACACAATAGGACATATTAAAAAAAGAGGAAAGAGGATGAGGAGATTAGACGGAAAGCTTTCGTCATGATTAGGCAGCAGCTCTTACCTTCACTGGAAGATCCTAACAGGTCGATAACAACGTACACCTTCCCCTCCGGCTCCAGGTCAATCTGCAGACAGATGAATGAAGATGAGGGAGGAGAGAAAGAGAGTGACGAGGGATGAGGGGAAGGAGGGAGAGAGAAAAAGAGACAAATAGTTAAGAGTACAAATATGAGTCAAATGAGTTGAACTGGTTATAACTGATCTCTGTCGGTCAGTTGACGCTATCAGCAGTTGCTATTTGTAATGTACCTGTGGATGAAACTATCACTGTTTCACTTTGATACTGAAGAAAAGTGTAAAGATTTTCAGGCAAGTTCTGAAGTTATGAGGAGTGTCTTTATGGACGACAGTCAGAGATTTTTAGATCTGAGTTGAGCTTCCTGAAATAAAGTCATCTGAATACAGTTTCTGAAGGGTGGCAATCTGAGAAACCCAAAATAAATATCTAGTGGAAATAAAAGTTTTTGTGAAATTGCACAATGTTTCCATTCAGTAAACACAGTTGTATTTAAATTATAAAAGTTAAAAATCACTTGAACTCCAGTTTTCAGAAGTGATTACATTTCATCGGTTTCTGATATAATTCAAATTGTTTTGACACTGATTTGCTTCCATAGCTTGTGATTATCTTACATGTGGTTTTCCATTGTATGCTTATGTTATATGTCGGTGTCAGAATGTACAGCACAAGTGGCCAACCTGTGGGAAACTGCGTGATCACAGCTTCCTGTTTGGCCAAAATTTCACAGTCTCACTTGCGACAGCGACGATGTAGAAGAGAGAAAGTTCAAGGGAAAAAAAAAACACCCTGTGGTGTGTGACTTACAGCAAACTAGAGGTTGACACATATCCTGTCACACACCCACACATCATAGATGTATATACGCCTCACACACACACACACACACACACACACACACACACACACACACACACACACTGAAGTCTGAATGTGTTTAGGTCAGGGAGAAGCGCTGAGGAGTGAAGACAACTGCTGTGTCTGCACATGTTTGAAAGTATACAGCAAAGTGTGTGTGTGTGTGTGTGTGTGTGTGTGTGTGAGAGAGAGAGAGGAGAAGGTCTGAGTGCTCATCTACAGCTCATCTCATGAAAGCGGGTGGGCATCGGCCAGGGGCTCACCGAGCTAGTACCACCCACAGTGTCCATAATCCCCCCCTTTACACACACACACACACACACACACACACACACACACACACACACACACACACACACCAAGTGAAGGCGAACAGGCGTGGGTTCAGTGAAGTATACAGTAGGAGATGGAAAGCAGAGAGAGACGGATGAGGGGGAGGACAGAGAAAGTTTGTTGGCTCGTTCCAATGTGAAAATGAAAGGGAGGGGGGGTTATTTATTTATTTTATGTTAACACATTTTCTTTTGGGGGGGGGGGGCCTTAATGGATTTTCATCATCAGTACAATCAGTGCATTGAGAGCATTTTGTGTTCGTTTAACAAGGTAATTATTCTCATCCATCTGCATTTTCTAGAAGGAACGGAAGGAAGGAAGTCGTTGTGGCGGATGGACATATGAGAGTGGCAGAACGTCACCGTGAATCTGGCAAAGGAGGGAGGGGGGAGGGGTGGGGGGTTCATTTCTGTTGCCAGAACCGACTCGAACACCATAGACATTGAGTTTTTGTTGCCAGCGTCAATCAAAGAGACGGCGTTGTCTTTCTGTCAGGCGCTGGAAGAAGACGTGGACGTGTGTCAACAGCTGCACAAGGGAAGCGTTTTGAATAAAACTGACATTGTGATTTTATTAGTGGAGGAGTGGAAGCTAGCTGCGGCTCATTGTGTTTGGTTTGTGTGTCAAATTAAAGAAGAAAAGAAAAGTTTTGCAGCGACTTCTTTTCAAATATCTGAGCGTTTCCCACTGAAAGTAACTTAAGAATTTGTTAAAGTTAAAGCAAGTTTGCAAGATTTTTCCAGGCAGGGTTTTAGCTAATTATTATTTTCATTACCAAATGATCTCAATTGATTATTTGATTATTCATTTAGTGTGTAAAATGTCACAAATCCAAGACAATGTCTAAATGTCTTATTTTAGTTTTCTACGATATGAAACAGAAAGTGTTGGCAGTTATTTTGCTGAAGATTAAAAAAATTGATTAATCGATAGGTTTGTACAATATACAAAATTTAATATCTTGATACAGTCCAGTCCAAATATCACGATATATGATATTATTGCAGGGAGTGTTTATAATCTAATTATATTGTTTTTTTAAAAAAAAAATACATAACTATATTGTTGTATTTTATTTTTCAGGTGTTTTTAATAATATATAATTATGACATTGTATTTTATGTTGGACTTGATATCATGAAATATATCACATAAGGCAGGAAATATTGTAATATCTGATGTTATTGAACAGTTAATCCTCTGGGTTGTGAGATGATTATCAGGGAAAAATCTAACAATAGACTGCAAACAGCCAAGCATAAAAGTTTGGGTATAGATGATCTGAATACCTATTTCTCAGAATAATGGGACAGAATAATACAAATAAAGGCCTCACTCTGGGCACCGGGATCTCGTGTTCCCTTAATCAATCAATCAAAAACAATAATTCATTTACCAAAGAGGAAAATAATAAGTTTCATCCATCCTCCTGAAGCTCAGCTGATTTATACCGTACACACACTTTGACCCCGTTTCATTAGAAGAGTAATGCGATAATACACGGAGCAGAATTCATGTAAAATTCATAGCAGAGCCGCAGTGTCGGTAATAAACCAGCTGTGATGATGATTATGACGTCGACAAGAAGCGGACTGGCTGTGTGGACCCCAAACATCCCAAACACACACACACACACACACACACACACACACACACACACACACACACACACACACACACACACCACCTCCCTTCCTCTGAGGTCACAGCCCTCCATTCATCAGCTGCTTGCTGAGTGTGCTCAGACACACAGGTGCAGATGTCACTAAATATAGTCGGTGGAGGAAGGAAAAGGCCCCTCAGTGTGTGTGTGTGTGTGTGTGTGTGTGTGTGTGTGTCCAACCGCTGGTGTTGGCGTGCGTTCTTCCTCATGCGCATGGATGATGCACGGCACTACTTTTACTCCTCCTCCCTGTTTATCTGAGAGCTGGCGGCTGTACGCACACAGAGGTCAAAGGTCGCAGGAGCGATACACTCTTTATCAGTGGAGGAAGAGGGAACAGATGTGTGTGTGTGTGTGTGTGTATGCAGGTGTGCAACATGTTTTGATAACAACTGACCATTATAACTGGTTAGGTTAATGCTGCATTCATGAACCGTCCCTTTAAGAAAACACAACCTCGTGCTCAGTCACCAAAGGAAGTCGAATGCAAACACTGCAGAAAAACTATTTCAGCGACCAAACGTTACATCAACAATTTGCTTAATCACTTGAACACAGTCACAGCTGAATATGACTCAAACTAGAATCACCTCCTCGTGGTCGTATCCCTCCGCCACTCAGACTAGTTTCAGGTTACATCCCTGTTTATCCAGACATATTAAATATTAACCATCTGTGTGAATTGCTGTGCAAAGTCTTGAGTAATAGCTAAAAAGTGTATTCTGATGTCACACTGACCTTGACCTCTGACCTTTAGCCACCAAAGTCTAATCAGTTCGTCCTTGAGTCTAAGTGAATGTTTGTGCCAAATTAGAAGGGATTCCCTTGAGGAGTTCTGGAGATATTGCGTTCACAATGGCCAAAATCATGTTTTGTGAGGTCACCTTGACCTTTGACCTTTGACCACCAAAAAAAGCCCCAAAGTCATTGTTCATTAATCACAATCGAGATAAGAGTTTGAAATAATTGTGATATGGATTTTAAGTCATATCGCAGTCCTGGAGGAGGGTTTTTTAGTCTGATCCCATCCCAATGCTGGTCAGCTGCAGTACCACAGATGGCCACTAGGACAGTGACAACAGCTGTGTGACTTTAACACATCCGTGTTTTTAAAACCCCAACACAGAAACTGATGCTGCACACAGAGACACAACCTG